ACAAAGTAGAGGCAGAAATAAAAATAGATTTTTGAAGAAGTAGTAACGAGCAGCTATTCAAAAAGACACACCAATTTTTGAAAAACCTTTTCATAACGGGAGAAACAAGAAGATTGCAGCATCAGCCTCGCTGCTTTCGATTCTATGGCTTATGTGGCATCATCCAGAGGTGCATACATATAGTTTGCCTTGAAGCTAACTCGGTTTTTGTTTAGCTAAAATGCTCAAAATAAATAACTTGCGTACGTTTATCTGTTTGGGATGGCCGATCACAAATTTGAAAGGCATACTTTTCACATATTTAGGGCATGACCAGGTGCCAAAGAATTCGTGTGATAGGAGCGAAAGTCCTGGATTCACCCATCCACGGTAAATTATTGCAATGTGATTAACTTGAATCCAGGCTTATCATTATCAATATCAACATAGGACCAGGTATTACTGCGTAATAATCCGAGTTGCCACAGCTCAAATCAGTATATCAAGTAAGAAGACAGTGAAGTACAAGATGAAGATAAGAAAATCCAGTCGAAAGAAATATGAAGTACGAGAAGATAGAAAGAATGAATGAGAAAATGGTGAGATTCGGCATAGCGTCGTTAAGATGAGGATAATGTTTGTATACATATGCGCCACTGACATCGGTTCTGAACCATATCACCTAGAGTCTCCAACCACTGGTTCTTCTTGTCCCGCAGACCCCAACCGGGCTAGTCTACATCGCCCCACATGGCTCAAACCAACAGTCAAAGACTTCATGCATTGATGCCATGTTTTAGTCTAGCCACCTCGGGTCTTTTTCCAACCTGAACCTACTTCGGCTAACATTAACATTGTGTGACGAGGCAATCGATGACTAGGCATACGTAGTACGTGTTCCAACCATCTCAGTCGATGAAGGTTCATAACCTCGTCAACTGATTTACCCCTTCTCCTTAAAACTCTACACCTGACTTCTGAATTACTCACGTAGTGACACCACGGAATCTAGGTTTATGTTGTGGACGAACGACGCCAGGTTGCAAAAGGGGTATGGCTGTGCCAGGTGTTGGTATTGACAAGAAGTAGGTTGTGATCTACAAAAAGCTAAGAGATGATCTCAACTATCCAATCTGTAAACGACAAGAACGTCATAACAGAGTCATTACTGACCCTAAATACTAGATGAGTCAATAGTTTTCATACCAACAGTTGTTTGGTGATATTCGAATGGTGGCGTTGATTGGGAGGGGTGGTTAGAAGGCGAAGAGATAATCAGTTGGTGACACAACACCATGTGGTAGATGGTGTTTGTGCTAATTTTGCATCTTCTGGCAGAAAACACACATCTCTGACTTTATCGTTTTGACATACTCTATATCTTTCTTTCTTTGTGTCAGCATAATCATATTTTGTGTGACAGATTCTTACATGTTCATGTCATATTGAAATCGAAATGTTTTGTTTTTAATTCGTTTTCCTACTTACCGTTGGTGTGCTAAAGTCGTTCTATATTGATTTTCCCCAAACCACCCAAAGAAGAAAACCAGATTCTTGATGATTATTTGGAGTTTTCCGAGCTTCGAGGTTTGTTTACAAAGTAAATACTCATCCCTGTGATGAAACGTCCAAAATCAAACTTCAAAGCTTGGAGAACAAACAATTATCATCCTTATTCTTAACTGCAAGACTTCACTATTTGAAACCAGTTTCTGATTATCTTCCAGCTAATGTATTGTGTGTAATATTCACAGTATAAATATTTTGCAGTAGTGATCACCTACTACAAATGTACTCAGATAACCGCCTATTTTTAGCTAGCACAAATTCCAGACATAAAGAAAGACACTGTCGGATGTGGCGTCCACCGAGCTCAACTCAGCAATGGACACAGATAGATCGCATTGCTATTAGTCATCGCTGGAGAGGATCGGTGGAAGACTGCCGCTCCTGGTGTACGTGTTTGGATAGCGACTACGCAGTGGTCCGAGTGCGTATATGCCTGCGTCTCAATGGACGTCAGACAAATTTGGCAACATATCACTACGAGTGCTGCTGGACAACGAAAACACCAAAGCCGTGTTCAGTGAGAAGTTGGCTAGGCAGTTATCGGAACAAAAGACTATCACTTATCCAGAAGAAGCCTGGTGCCATCTTCAGTCTGCTGTAAAAGCAGCGCTGAAGAAGACCGTAGCTGACTCCAAAATAATGGCTAAAAAAACCAGTGGATATCAGCAGCTTCTTCCGAACTAATGGATGCACGTGAACTTACCCCTGCAGGCTCTGAGTACAATGAAGAGCGAGGGCAACTTCAAAGTAGATTAAGAAAAAGTTTCCGCAACTACCGCGAATAGTGGTGCCTAAAGAGATGGAAAAGGCAGCGGCGAATGGTAACAGTAGAGGGTTATTTAGACTTATTAAGGAGACTAGGGGTGGGGCGGGAAGGACGGGTCTGGGATTCATTCGCAGGGGAAACGACTGGGACGATGGGCAGAACACTTCGAGGAACAGTTTAACTGGCCTCCAGCCACCATTGCATTATCCGTTATCCAGTCGGATCCTGAATGGAACATTGAGATAGGCCCCCCAACACTAGCAGAAGTTGAGAAAGCTGTAGGTAACCTGAAACGAGGAACGGCGACAGGACCAGACGGACTAACTCCAGAGGTATACAAGGCTGGTGGTAAGGTTCTCTTAGGTTAAAGAAAGTGTTAACCAGTATATGGGAATCAAATACTATCCCCTTTAACTGGTCTAAATCACTGATTATTCCAGTCTTCAGGAAAGGCGAGAAGTCATCTTGTGATAACCGCAGAGGAATCAGCCTGACAAACATGGTGTCCAAGATCCTATGTTCTATAATTCTTCGACGCCTAAGTGGAGCTCGGAAACAGCAAGCCGGAGAAAGCCATGCAGGCCTTAGAACCGGCCGCGGGTGTATCGACGAAACAATCACACTCCGCCAGGTTCTGGAACACATGGACGCTAACCGACGCCCGACACTAGCTGTATTTCTCGGCCTGGAGGCGGCGGCATTTGACTCCGTTGATCGAGAAGTCTTATGGCAATGTCTCTCACTGAAAGGGGTGCCAAGTAAGTACATCACCTTATTGAAGGCTCTCTACTCGAACACTTGTGGGCGTGTCAAAGCCTATGGTGAGATGTCCAGGGAGCTATGCCCATCGAGTGGTGTCCATCAATGGTGACAACCGTCTCCATTCTTATTCAATTTTATGATAGATATTCTTATGGAGGTCTCCGTCTTGTCACCTGACTACACAGAGGTTGACCTAATCGGTGGAGAATTTTCGTTAGACCTAAAATATGCGGATGATAGTCCTGTTAGGTGAAGACGCTGACAAGATGCAGAGTCTTCTAGACACCGTGAGAATGTTTTTGGGATGCGTTTCTTATCACCTAAATGTAAATTGTTGCTTCAGGACTGGTCTTCAACGGTGCCTCAGCTAACAATAGAGAGTGTAGTGATTGAGTGTGTCGACCACTTCACTTACCTGGGAAATAGGATCGGCCCTAATAGCTCAGTGGCCGATGAAATCTCTGCACAAATACAAAAGGCTCGGCTGGCTTTAGCTAACTTACGTCACCTATGGCGCCGCCGTGATATCCGATTATCTATTGAGCGTCGCGTGTACTGCACAGCAGTCAACTCTGTTCTACTGTATGTATGTCTGTGTAACATGGCCATTGAAGGTGGAAGACATGAGAAAGCTGGCTTCAGGTATTTCACCACCGTTGTCTTCGTAGTACAGGCCGTATTCCGCGGTGCCACCACGTGAGTAATTCAGAAGTCAGGTGTAGAGTTTTAAGGAGAAGGGGTAAATCAGTTGACGAGGTTATGAACCTTCATCGACTGAGATGGTTGGAACACGTACTACGTATGCCTAGTCATCGATTGCCTCGTCACACAATGTTAATGTTAGCCGAAATAGGTTCAGGTTGGAAAAAGACCCGAGGTGGCTAGACTAAAACATGGCATCAATGCATGAAGTCTTTGACTGTTGGTTTGAGCCATGTGGGGCGATGTAGACTAGCCCGGTCGGGGTCTGCGGGACAAGAAGAACCAGTGGTTGGAGACTCTAGGTGATATGGTTCAGAACCGATGTCAGTGGCGCATATGTATACAAACATTATCCTCATCTTAACGACGCTATGCCGAATCTCACCATTTTCTCATTCATTCTTTCTATCTTCTCGTACTTCATATTTCTTTCGACTGGATTTTCTTATCTTCATCTTGTACTTCACTGTCTTCTTACTTGATATACTGATTTGAGCTGTGGCAACTCGGATTATTACGCAGTAATACCTGGTCCTGTGTTGAATTGGATAGATGGATGTTAATTGCAGGCACGACCGCTACGCAGCTAACGGTCAAGCACAAGACACCAATAATGCAGGTTGTCGTGCCCTATGAATATAGTATGAGCTATGAAACTAACTTAACTGGACATTATCGTTCATGAACACGCATTTCTGCCTTACATTTACCGCTTGCTTGCAGGAAAGGGCAGTTAACGCTCACTATCACTACTCATCATCATCAATATCAATTTGCATTTAGGTGGTAAGAAACTCATCCCAAAAACATTCTCAAATTGCTGCTCAAGGTGTCCAGAAGACTCTGCATCTTTTCAGCGTCTTCACGTAACAAAATTGTCATTTACATATTTCTATGCAAATTCCTCAATATTAACTGTATATTTATTGTTATAATTTACTCAGTTGTTGTTAACATTGGAATACAGAACACTCGTTTCTTCCTTTTTTGAGACTGACTAACTGGATATACCTGCACCCTTGTAGGTGTCTCTCATATAATCGTTATCGAAACTAACTAGATTCGGCTGCGATTTGCATAATGGCATTCGTCAAGCATGATAAGCTGTCCGAAATACAATGAAATTTTCCCGTTGAAAGTAATTCTACATCTTTCGCAGTTAATTGCAGTTTTGGTACTGGAGTCTAATGAAACAGTTTTATTTTGTCTCATTTGATTTTAGAACGCTCCTCGAAAATGAATTAGAAGCTGTTGGTATTCGTTTGAATAAGCGCAAACCAAATATTTATTTCAAAGTAACTATCTTCACTACATTATTCTTCTTGCTAATCCAGTAGTTTTAGCAAACAAATTTCAAAATGACTCGTAGTGTTAGTACTCTTAGCAAGGTTTCGGTTTACTGAGTTAGTATTCATAGGTTCGAGTTCTCAACTTATGTCAGCAATTTGTAGTAGAAATGTGGCATAGTGTGTTGTGACCTAGTGGATACGGTCCACCATCTGGAGCATGAACCTGCACATTGTTTCTATTTTGCACACTTTTAGTATTCACTTTGATAAGCCGACATGGGAATGTGGATATCATGCTAATTCTAAGTGGTGGTAACTTAGCTAAGAACTGTAAGTAGTTCAGCCGTTAAGTAGCATCTAGAAATATTTGGTTTTCAGATATAACTTTAATTTTGCGTTAAATGTTTTTGGTTTGTCAACTGATGATTCTTTCTATTTGGGTGGCAGGGCATGCATCCAAACACTTATGTGTAGTCGACGGGTAGATCAAAGTCGGACCTTGCACAAAAGTGCATCAATTCGAGTTGCCCGTATTTCGTGACAGCTCAGGAGAGTAAGTTAATGGAAATAGAATGATACAAGAATAAACAAATAAATAATTACAGATTTCGAATTAATAAATTGAATACATCTACATCACCGTGGTCTATTTCTAGCTATGCCATGAAGAGTCTTCACCTAAGGTGCCAGAAAACAAAACACTAACTAGGTACGCCTGTTGATGTTTGTGATACTGGTAGGAGATTGTGAGGTCCATTACGGTTGGATGAGGTTGAATTAACTTTGATCTTTTAGTTGAAAGTGATATATGTATTGACTTTTTCCTACTGACTGTAATCTCTGAAATTAAGTTATCTCTTAACTTCGCTTCTAATCACTAAAAAAGATTGATAAATGCGAGAACGGTAATATAGTTTTGAAGTCGTGGCGATTGAGTTAGTAAACTACTCCACATTATTGAACGTTTTCTCCTCCTAGTGGCTTTCAAGACCACCCTAGCAACAAATGAAATAACCAATTAAACGTCTGTATCCTGTGAAAATCTGACTTTCTAAACGAAATGAAGAAATCTAATCGGTTATTTCGACCGTCGCTAGAGTGGCCTTGAAAGTCGCCCTTTTCTCCACTAGCAGGAGTAAAGATGAATTTGGATACAAATGCTTCCCTATTCAGATTGTTATTTGGTCATCACAATCTCACTTGAAAAAGATATCTATCACCGACAAATTTCATATACTTTAGTTTTCCTAATTTCATTTCATTTGCCCTGTAGTTTTAGCAATGTTTTTACTTTTTTATACCTTTGTATTGTAGCCGAAAAAAACCGGTGGACTAAAAATGACCTCAATGGTACCATTGACCAAAATGAGCGAGAAAATGACGCAGATTATATTGCAGGAATACAGTATCCTCTTATTCTGTTTTTTTAGTAATCTTAATTGATGTCAATTATGTTCATTTCAATATTTTAGGATGATGACTGGAGTTGACACGAAATTTGCGTTATCAGGTTAGAAACAGATGTTTACAGGTTGTTGAACAAGTGTTCGAGCAACCATAACATCTCAGTGGTGGCTAGATGTGAATCCTTTGTTGAATCTTCATTCAATCTACCTTCCCTTGGGAGCTAACTAAGTAGCATCAAATACCCTCCCTTGTTCAGTGTTACTCATATCCTAGTAAATGACCTGTATCAAGTCGTTGAGTTGCAGTTATCGTTTAGGTGTTTATTACAAATCGATGTTAGTTGAATAAGTGTTAAGAATCGCGTAGTTACTAAGTCGACTTTTTACCGTTGATCGATGCAAAAACTGTACAATGTTTTCGGGCGTTGCACACATACGGCTACGTGTTCTCTTGTTCTCAATATAGTCAACTCTCGTACTGAACTTGCTAACAAACCCATTGAGTTAGAATCAACTTCTGCTAATAAGCGATATAACGCAGACATCAATCTGTGATGGAACTGCTTTGAAATCACAAAGTTACTTCACAAACTTTGCAATATTCTTTTCTGTTTACTTCTAGAAAGCCGAAAAAGTTATAATAAACACAAAAATTACTGACCATTTAAGGTTTTCTAGGAAATTGGAACAGAATTATGGGTAATAACTTCATCCAGTCAAATGAATATCTCCAGTGGTATTTAAACGTGGTCATAAAAAGAGTTAACTAGGTCGTCAGCACATTAGTGCACTTTTACTGTTTTCATTAAGGTGAATAAAAACTAAGTCCCACTCTTCTACTACCCTTAGAGCACTACAACCTTCAAGTAGCTCACACTCTCCTCTGTAACTGAATCATAGACAAATGGTCTCGGCATCAAGTACTGTGTAATTTTTCTTTTAAAAAATACATTTTTACAATTACAAAGCATAGCTTACTTGTTGAATGCTGTCCACTTTGACTTCTTTACGTTTTGTAATGTAGAAATATTCAATGCAGAAGTGGTTTTTCGAGAAGATGTTACTTCAGATGAATTTATCGATGTTGTTGTTGGCAATCGAGTTTATTTGGGCTGCCTTTATGTAATTTTGTCGATTAGTCGGATTTTATTTATTATTAAGGTATATAATAAAATTGATCAAATATCACTACAAGAAGTTGATAGGTTGGCAAGACAACCGGATTCAGTTGTTGTCAGGTTGGTTACCTTATTCTGTGGTTGTTCACAATGCTCCTTTTCTGCATAAGTCTGCATGCATGTTTATATGTCTTGATAAGTTAAGATGAATAATTTTTCTCTTCTTCAGCGAAGGGACTATGATTTTCTTAAAGAATGTTACTGTTTGGACCTGATTGAGCGATGTCTATTGACATGTGGGCTCCTGCGCGAATGCCTTGATATTTCACAGGGAGTGACTTTCACTTGCCAGTGGTCTAGTTGATAACGCCTTGGCATTTGAAGTGGTGGGTTTCGGGCGCGAGTTTTAGTCGGGAGAACATCACTCACTGGGGGCAGGTACTTCCAGCTGAAGATGCCCAAATAGAACAAAACGCATGTCGTGAACTCTACTGTTAACCAGTATCCATCATTGGTATCAAAAATCGACTGTAGTTCTTCAGAAAATTTCACTGTGTTCTGCGTTTGAACATGCAGATAGGTTGGTGTTAAACTTTATACAAAAGTGAATCGGTTTGGGTTACCTCCACCTTGCAGCACTATACAAAAGGAGTCGACAAAAGTGTATGAGATGAAGTAGAATGCATAGATAATGATGAATGAAAACTTTCAGTACTTCAAAAATAAAAAAAGTGTATACATCTGCGCTATGGCAACCGAGTTTAAGCTGTATCACTGAAATTCTTCAAGAAATAATTCCTATAATCTCGAAGACACTATTCAGGTAGTCTACACTTGTCATGATCTGGTGCCACGTCTTGGTTTGACCATCGTGAGCCTTATTCCAACCCAATCCTACTTCCCCCAACGTTGAACCTCAAGGTAGATGGTGATCAGGAACGTGCAACACACATCCAACCCGACCGATTAGCTCCTACCTTGACGTGGTGATCAGGCTCGCATATCACAATGACCCAACAGCTCTACCGGTAGAACACTTGTTCCCTCGGAGTCCTACCATGCCAAAGACGTCTATTGAATAGTGTTCAGATGAAATGCCGTTGCTACTTTAGTGTAAGTTACTGCACTATAATGAGGATCTGAGGGAGAAGTCGTACAGCTGCCAGCTGGATTAGAGGTGACAGCAGTAAGGTATTTCCTTTGGATTACCAGCAGTGCCCACCCTGATGCTACCTTCCCTTTGGGAATGGAGGGTTAGGAAAAGGTCGGCCCAGAAAATAGCACACCCTTGCCTCCTCACGGCATGGCGTCACTTGCAACAGGGATTCATATTCGAATTCAAAAGCGAAAAGCCAAACTCAAAATTGCCAAAAGACCGTGTGTAACCGGCCTCAAACAGATGTCCCATGGACTGTGCGGTCACGCTCTCTTTCCTTTCAGGTACATCAGAAAGAACTATCCTTCCACAGTATGGGCAGCTGAGAAGTGTCGGTCGCCTGCACGCTTCCAACAGGGCCAGATCAAACAACCCATCCTCTTACTCTATCAACCTCTGACTCTGCAACCGTTGTCAACGATCGAAACTGTCGATACCTCATTCCTAGCCCCCTAAGACCCCGCCATCGATTTCATATAGGAGCTTTCAACCTCCAAACGATATACCAAATCGGACACCAAGCATTACTCGCCGAAACTCTAGAATCTCTAGCCATTAATGTATGCCGTGTCTCTGAGACACGTATCAGACAATACCCGAGTGTGGTTATTAAAATGACGTCAGCTGGGCATGTTAGCGAATCTTCCAACTCCACATTAAGAGTATCCGGAGACCGCAGTGGCTAGCGCCCATGGACTCGCTGATTTAGGAGGGATAGCATTGAGTTGTAGAGAAGAAAGTGCACTTGTCAACTGGATCTCAGTAAACAGCCATCTATATGCTGTGTCGGCTGGTTAGATCTGTAAAGATTGGGAAGCATCATGAGACTAAGCGATGACCCTTCCTAGTCTTTGTCAACATACACATGGACTGCAGTTCGGACGATGCAAAGGACTAATTCCATGAGAAGCTGTCAGCTTTGCTACAGAAACTCCAACGTTGGGATGCAGTAAAAATGGCAGTTGACGTTAACACTGGAGTAGCGAAACTGAGCTGAGTCAATCGCAAAGGTACCTTTGTGGTATTCACAGAATCCCATGCCGAAAAACCGACAAGGGTGGTCGTCTGCTGCAATTTCGCTCCAGTAATCACTTGTGTGTAGACTGCACTAATTTCAGGCATGAGGAGAGACACTGTCTCACATAGCGTCCGCCGAGGTCAAACCAACGATGGATACGTATAGATCACCTTGCTATAAGCCATCGTTGGAGCAAACTGCCGCTCTTTCTGAGGTACCAATTTGGACAGACGATAGTAAAGCGTGTCTATTGTACATGGGATGATGAGGACGCGAAGTACGCATTTAGAGAGGAGTTAGCTAACCAATAATTTGAACGTGACAGTAATGGTCATCGTGAGGAACCCGGTATGCTACCAAGTTTTCTGTTAAAACATTGGTAAAGGCAATTCGTAACCTACACAAGAAGGTTAGAGAAAGTCATTGGATATTCGCGACGTCATCCAATCTGATTGATGCGGGAAGCCTGATTCTAGCTCTGACCACGAGGAAGAGCGAAAGTAACTGGAATGTAAGTTGACCAAGAGTCTTCGCATGATCACGAGCGGTGGTGGGTGGCGGAAACGAGAGGAATGGAGAAGTCATTAACGTTAGATAACACCTGGGAACTATTCAGGTTTATTAAGAATACCGGCAAGAAGAAGACGATGGTTAGTAAAACCATCACGGAAAGGGATGGAACACTGGTAACCTCCCATAAGAGACGGCTGGAACGTTGAGCAGAACACTTGGAAGCACAGTTCAACTTGCCTTCAACAACTTTTCAGTTGCCAACATCCAGCCACCCTGAACATAAATGGGACGTTTAGAAAACTGTATCGAGCGTGAAACGATGTAATGCAGTAGGAGCTGGCAGTTTCCCCATGAAGTTTTCAAGAATGGAGGTAGGAAATCACTGATTGAAGTGATGGAGGTACTGCGTAGTGTATGGGAATCAGAGGTACTGCCTTCATACTGGTTTACTTCTCTGAACATGCCGGTCATTAGGAAGAGGGGGAAGCCTTCTTGTGTCAACCACAGGGGAATTAGTCTGACTAATACCATGTCCAAGATACTGAGGTCCGTAGTTATCTCAGGCCCAGCTGGAGTAAAGAAAACTCGATAAAACCAGGTGGGTTTCAGAAAAAGCTGGACGAGAACGTATCGATCATATTTTGACCCTTCGACTGGTTCTGGAGGAAAGGAATACCTACGGGTGGCTGGCACTTGCCATATTTGTTGACCTAAAGGCGGCATTTCACTCAGTCGACCGTGAGTTGTTGTGGCAGTGTGTGACTATGAAGAAAGTACTGAGCAAGTATATAACGCCAATCAAAGCTCTTCACGCAGCCGTGTAAAGGCTTATGAACAGTTATCATGTAAACTGACTACAATTAGTGGTGTTAGGGATGTCTACTATCACCGTTCCCACTCAACTTCATCGTCAACGTACTAATGGACATAACCTAATGTACGTTTGACTACACAAGGATTGATACATTCCCTGGTAGTGGTTAAGTTGATTTGTAATATGCAGACGATATTGTTGTGCTCGATGAATACGCTGGCAAAGTGCTGGGTATTCTGGATGCATTAATCAGAAATCTGAGTACACTTGGCATGCGTCTTGGTTGCACCTGTCAAATGTAAGATGATGCTCCAGGGACTAGTCTGCTGCAAGTACTGTCAGTTTAATGATACCAGGTAGGAAGCTGTGGAATGTGTGTTAACCGTAACTAATTTAGGTCACAAACTCGAATTAAAGGTGATATAAATAGAATGGAATGGAATCAATTCTAAAATTGCTATACTAATCCTTGGACACAAAATACCCATATGTATTTGATTGTTGTCGATTTTGAAGCTTCTCATTTCTTTTTTCAGTCATCATTGTTAGCTGTCGTGTAAAGCCAGCTGAGGCTGACTTCGTAATTCAGTTGCTTATCATGATCTAAACTGTCCAATGAACTGCTTTGTATTCATCGTATAGATGTTTCGTTCCAGTAGGTTCATAATCTAACCTTAAGTTCAATAAGTTTTTGTTCCGTTATAAGTTACTAGTGTTTCACATGTTTGGTTGTTTTGAAAAACTAGTCCGTTTATTTTTGACTACTTGTGCCAGCCTTGCTTAACAGCTGTATACTACTAACAACATTATAAGCTAGCATACAACTCTCTTATAATATGGGATGCTAAACTATGCTGTATTAGCTATTCTTAAAATAACATGTTTAAGTTGATTTTTTAAGAATAAGAATTTGTTTATTGTTATCGTCTTTCTTTTTCTTCCTCATAGTTGCAATTTAAAATTGAATCTGGACTATCTGTTAGAAAAAATTGGGAGTATTTAAATCTAATTCAAGTATTCACTAAAAAGCGTGGACGTAAGATAATAATTCAAAGTGTTACTAATCAGTCGTTTTCTTTTAGAAAAACCTGATCTTGAAGAAGGAATAATATTACGAAATGGTGCAACGGTTGAGCATATAGTAAGTCTAGTTTCCAGTATTCCACTACCATCTGTTTGCCAGTTATCATTCTTTTCTTTTTAATTGTTAGTAATTATTACTGTCAAATGTTTCTGTGATGCAAATATTACAACATATTGTTCTTTAACCATTTCATATCGGGTCTGTTTCTTAGCAGCGTGCTGTGTTTGTGAAAAATAACCGTTAAAACTGAAAGACTCGTCAGAGTTTGAGTTATTTTATCACTATTGCTTTTATAGTACCGCTTATTTTGGTAAACTTACAGTGTGAAGTCTTGAAATTAGAAGCAGATTATTAGTATGCGCATTCTTGCTCACCGTGTCAACTGACTTCGCTATGGTCACTTAAAAAGGACTAGGTTGGGAAGTCCTAACAGCGATTAGTGCAAATCTGTTTGTCTTAAACATGTAGGGTATCGTGGGTTTCCTAGTTGTATTATGTTAAACAATTGAAATCGAAGATTGGAGACTCTAAATTGATCTAATGCATAATCGGTTGCTGTCGAGTACATGTAACCACATTTCATCTTCAGTTAGATCTTTTAGTCATGCATTTTTTTGTTCCTTGCCTAACTTTCCGCTTGTTCAACTGCTTTTTTGCCTTCCATCTTCTTGACCTCATCTCGATGTTCTGATACAAAGTGTGGTTATGACCAATTGTCAATTGTGCTTGATCGTATATTGTTGATTTCTATCTACCTATCGTATACTTACTTTCGTACTTCTAAGCACTCAACAATAATACTTTCTTATAAAGTCGGCTCTGATTACTACACTAGTGTTTTCAAAATATCTATAAAGGAATTAAAACTTCCGTTTCTTATTTTTGATATTATTCTGATATAGCATATAGTCATACTGTTTTATTTATGTCAAGAGGACGATTATGTGCTATATTCATTTTGAGGTAATAACGCGACTTTCTGACTTCGTCTTCTTAGTTCTATGGCTTTTAATTCTTTGATTTTACTGAATACAGAATTCATCATATTTCTTGAAGCAATATTCGTAGGTCGTAATCGCATATATTAGGCGTTGAGTCTGTGGACGAAGATCCAGTGACTAACCTATTTTATGGCATGTATACTACTACATGCGTAAGAATGACTGGGTTCTTCGCTAGATAACTAAGCTTCATGAAGTCTGTCATTCTATCATGGTTAGGTTTCTGTCCTATAGGAGCCTAACCGACTGTGGTCGACTGGCTTATTTTACGTATTTTACCTCACAAACATTGTCTGATATTGTAAACTTCAGGATCAAAATTTGACCTGATAAAGTTGAATAAGTTGAGCATTGGCTAATTGGATCATAAATGAAATATATTTGTAAAATCCCAATGAAGTCATTGACAGAAATCTATAAACACATCATCCTACCACAAGTAAGGAATATATCAGAAATCATGACAAGGTTACTGAGACCACTTAGAATTAGTGTGGCTCATAAACCAACAAATTCCCTCCAAACACTTATGGAAACCAAGTGATGCAACAACCAAAGAAGAACCAAATATCATCTACAAAATCAACTGCAATAATTGTAATCAACACTACATTGGACAAAGTGGTTGCCCTCTTCGCATTCATCTACATGGACACCAATTGCCTAATAAACGTCACGACATTTCACCACTCATTTCAATGCATGTGGATAATTATGGACTTGAATTCAATTTTGACAATGTAGAAGTCTTGGATAGAGACAGGAAACACAGAAGCTTGGCATTCAGGTCAGTCAGCAATCAACAGATATTTAGGCATAGAACCACTCTATGGAACCAATGAGAAAAATGATAGACGACAGAAAGGTCAGATATTAAGCAAAGGGAACAGCCAACAACAAAATTTATACAGTCAATGACACAACAATCAAAGGAAACAACCAATCACAAACCAGCTCGTCAGGACAAGCTACTAAATCATTCATGGAGAGATAGTGCTGATGGTGTCGTCTAGAAAGACGATGAGAGCTTCACGATTAAACAACTCAGCTCAGAGAACACAATACAACCAAGACCATCCACCTGAGCTACAAATATCCTCCACTATTTCAAAATCATACGAGTGATTATGCTTTTCTTATAAGTCCATGTAGATGTCTGACTAAATTTAATTGGATAGTTGTTGAGTGATATAGTTTATTTTATATTCATTGTATTACATTTTTCTTCGTAACATTTTCTTTTCTTATTCGTGTCAAGTGCCATTCAATTCATCGATCTTTGGCATCACAATGCAAATGCGCTCTTGTTTGGGTAAGTATGTCATCTGAAAATTCAGTATGTCTCATCACCATCACCTCCACTACAAGATTCACATTACTGCACAAAAATGAAACAAGACATTAAAAACTGATCAGTGATAAGTGCCAAGTTACTAATCATGGACTATGATGGTGATCGTAATAATAATAATGGTCCTTTTATCATTTCTTTTGATCGATCATATGCCTAAGTTGTTTATTCGACAGTCTAAACTATCAGTCCATCTTTGTCAGTTGGTCAGGTTTGGAACTGTGATTTACTTCTTACTGGAACTTGATTTTCAATCAAACGGTCATGGGTTTGAAGCCCGCTTCAACTACTGATATCCTGGGGACGGGATAGTATTATTATTATTATTATTATTATTAGTCCCTTGGGTTCCTAGTGGAACATAGGGCTTCAGTAGCAAGTCTCCAGTGAATTCTGTTCTCTGAGATCTTTTGAACCTGGCTCCACGACAGCCCAGAAGCTTTCATTTCCTCCTCGCACGACCTCCTCCATGTCACCCTCGGACGTCCAACTCGTCGCTTCCCATGCGGATTACACTCGACGGCCTGACACGTGATGTCCCCAGTCGGCTTTCTCAGTGCATGTCCAATCGATCTCCACTTCCTCCTGCATATTTGTTGAGCGATAGGTTCTTGGTTGGTTCGTTCCCAGAGCTCCTTGTTGCTTATTCTTTATGGCCATCTGATCTTCAGTAGCGAGCGTAAGCAGTTGTTGATGAATGTCTGTAGTTTATTGGAAATCCCTTTCGTAACGCGCCAAGTCTCTGAACCATACAAAAGCACTGACTTGACGTTGGTGTTGAAAATCCGGATCTTGTTCCGCATGCTGAGTGCAGAAGATCTCCACACTGGTTTCAGGCTAATGAACGCCTGTCTTGCTTTTCCGATCCTGGCTTCGACATCCTCGTCTGTGCCGCCTGTAGTTGAAACAGTGCTTCCTAGATAGGTGAAGGGGGTTACTTCCTTAAAGTTTCTTCCTTTGATGGTGATTGCAGTTTGTTGTTGTTGTTGTTGGAGTTGTTGGTTGGGTATCTTCATCACCTCTGTCTTCTCTAAATTCACCTGAAGCCCCGTCTTCGCTGCCTCTTCTATCAACTTGTTAGTTTTTGCCTGCAGATCTTCAAGTTTATGTGACATCAGGCACAAGTCATCGGCGAAATCCAAGTCTTCTAGGTTCTTTTCCGTAGTCCAGTGTATCCCCCTCTTCTCGCTCCCCACTGTTGTCTGCTGCATGATCCAGTCCACCACAATAAGGAATATCATAGGGGATAGTAGGCAACCTTGTTTCACTCCTGTCTTCACTTCAAAATCATCACTGAGCTTCCCACTGTGAATTGCTTGGCATGTGGCCTCTTCATATAGTTGTTGAATGAGGTTGATAAAGGTTTGCGGTACTCCGTAGTAATGAAGCAGTTTCCAAATTACTTCTCGGTCGACGCTGTCAAAGGCCTTCTCAAAGTCGATGAAGTTGAGGTAGAGAGCTGATTGCCATTCTATGCTCTGCTCTATGATGATGCGAAGCGTTGCAATTTGGTCTGCACATGATTTGTACTTCCTGAAGCCTGCTTGTTCCGGCCGTAGTTTTGAATCCAGTGCATCCTTAAGCCTCTCCAGGATGATGCGGCTTAATATTTTACTTGCCTTGGGTGGACAGGAGAGTGATTCCGCGCCAGTTCTTGCAAACACTGAGGTCTCCTTTATTCGGCAGTTTGACAAGGTAACCCTTCTTCCAATCGCCAGGTACCTTCTCTTCCTTCCACACCTTCTGCAATAGTGGTGTGAGCATGTCCACTGTTGTCTCTGCATCTGTTCTCAGTGCTTCTGGCGGTATCCCATCTGGTCCTGCTGCTTTCCCACATTTCAGTAGCTTTATGGCATTCAGGACTTCCATTTTCGTTGGAGGATTTATGTTCACTTGTAATTCAGCGGCTGTAGGTGGTATTTCTGGACGAAGTGCAGGCGGTGGTCGATTCAAGAGCTTTTTGAAGTGGTCGGCCCATTGTTTCCTTTGTTTCTCTTTTTTTGTAATTAAATTTCCTTCTTCATCTTTTATTGGTTTCATCTGTGTTGATCTCTTCCCTGATAGCAACCTGGTTATTTGATACAATGTTGTCAGGTCTCTCTTGCCTGCAGCCTGTTCTGCTTCACTTGCCAGTGTTTCGTAGAAGTGTCTTTTGTCTTTGCGTGCACTCTTCTTCACTTCTTTGTTCAGTGTTTTATACACTGTACTCAGTTCCTCTTGTCGTTGAGCGTCCTTGCACTGGTTTATCTTCTGCTTCACCATCCTCCTCTCCTCTATCAGCTTCCATGTGTTCGTCGAGATCCATTCCAGTCCTTGTCTTCTTCCTTCCTAATACGGCTGTGCAGGTTTCTTTCCACATCTCTTTCAAAGACTTCCAGTGTTCTTCCACACAGGTTTCTTCAGGAATGTCCCTCGATATCTCCCATTTTGTCTTCATGGCTGGCTGCCGTGAAGATTTCCTTTGCAGTTTCATCCTTCAGTTTCCGAGTGTTGTACTTGAACTGTGGTCTATCACCAGCTTCCTTGAAGGCTTTTAACTTGATTTCGAAGGTTCCTTGCACTAGACAGTGAGTGGCGTGAAACTACATCTGCTCCTCTCCTTGACCCTGTGTTAAGTAGACTGCGTCTCCATTTTCTTGAGATTGAGATAAAGTCGATTTGATTTTTAGTGTGTCCATCTGGTGAAATCCATGTCGCTGGCTTTGTGGATATCCTTGTGCTTGAACACACTGCCTCGCCTCCAGTCACCAAATCGTTGAATGCACAGAAGTCTGCCAACAATTCTCCATTTTCGTTCATCACCTCAGCGAGCGCTTCTCGACCCATGGTTAGTTCTCTTCCCGTGTTGTCCCATCCCAGTTTGGCATTCATGTCGCCCATTAGAATTTTGATATTGCCAACTGACGTCTTGTCCAGTGTTGATTGAAGTTGTCTGTAGAAATCCTCCTTTTTCTCTTGCTCTGCATTATTTGTAGGTGCGTAGCGTATCATTGTATGATTGTGAGCTTCCTTCCTTTTGAGTTGAATCTTGCTGTCATGATCCTGGAGGAGATTGGTTCCCGCTGCATGAGAGCCTTCGATGCTCTTGAGGACATCATGATAGCCACTCCCTCAGTGTGCTCATGGTTGTCGTCTGGGTGACCGGAGTAGATTATTGATTCTCCAGTTGACCACTTGAACAGTCTGGATTTTGTAGTTTATGTTAAGAATAGAATCACTTCCCTTTCCTGAAAGACGACTAGTGTGTAACCGGTAAAACCCGTAAGTGGATATAAATGATGCTATCTGAATTTGTTCTTTCCATGTGTATATTTTGTTAATTCATAATACCATTGTGTATATGCTTAATCAGTGAACTTCAACCAATTTCGGGCCATCTAGTCCCTAGGATTGACTGAATTCTACTGATCAAGTTTGCTGAGTCGTTGTAGAGCTAATTGACGTGATATCACGGTGCATTGTATTTGGTGTTATTCGATAGAATTTGATAGATACTGAGAATTTAAGAAGATTGCATTTACTACCCAGCAGTCGATTGCTTCATTCAGTTCACTTATCTACAAATTCCCACCGATAACTGCTGGCTTGACGTAATAATCGGGCTTGTGTACCAAAACGACCCAATGAGCTACACTGTTTGGAACACTTCTTCCCTTGAGGTCTAACTAAGCCAGAAAGATCTCTTGGATTGTAGTAAGAAGGGAAGCAGTTACCGTTGTAGTGTAAATCGCTACACTATGATGGGTGTCCGACGGCGAAGTTGAACTACTGGTAGGATGGGGTGTGATAGCAGTAAGTTATTTCCTTTGGATGGGCAGCAGTATCGTGCTGGGACGGACTGTCTCACAAAATCAACGTAGAACGTCGCACATACGTGCATTGGCTGAATTCCCCACACTTCATATTACTACACGGAAAACATGTGGATCGAAAAAGAGTGATATCAAATTAGACAAAGTTGTGTGAGAGAATAAACCATCTCAAGATATAGGTTAGTGCGAATATTCAAACTTTAGAAGACGTTAAGGAGAGAATGCGTCTGCGCCACTGTCACCGATTTACAGCCATGTCACCAAGATTCAATCCTCAGCCACTGATTCCTTTCATCTCAGTGACCCCAGCCAGGCTGTCTACATCTACCCACACGCCTCACACCAACAGTAAGAGACAACATCGATTAGTCTCACGTCTTCGTCTAGTCACCCTGAAACCTCTACCAACATAATCCGAATCCCCTCAGTATGGAACGTTGAGGTAGACGGTGACTCGGCATGCTCAACACATGTCCAAGCCATCTCAGTCGACTGAGGTTCACAACCTCATCAGTCGACTCGACTGTTTTGCCGAATACCCTTCGCCTTACCTCAACATTGCTTACACAGTGATTCTACCGAACGCAATCCATGCTACGAAGACACTTGTGATCGAAACTCTGCAACCACTTCACGTCTTCTACTTTTAACGCCAATATCTCACGTCCATACGAACGAAGTGCAGTGCAGTGCAGTATACTCGTCCTTTGATAGATAGTTGGATATCTTGCCAGTTGGCGCCGCATGTTGCAAGTTATCAAATGCCAAGCGAACTTGCGTATTCGAGCTGAGATTTCGCCAGCAAGCAGGCGGTTCGGGGGACTGATACAACTCCCAAAGTGAGTGAATTGGTCGACACACTCCACAACTTCTTACCTGATGTCATTAAACTGGGAGTACTTGCAGTAGACCAGTCCTAGAGCAACATCTTACATTTGACAGGCGTCAGTGAAACACATGCCAAATGTACTCAGATTTCTGCTCAACAATTCAAGAAGACCCAGCATTTTGCCAGTGTCTTCACTGAGCAGAACGATATTGTCTGCACACTCCAAGTCAACGACATGCCCTCCATGGATGGGAGTTATTCAGTCCCTGTGGAGTCAGGTGTACCTAAGCTTCTGCTCATTTGCATATCTCTAACAAAGTTAAGTGGGAACGGTAACAGTGGGCATGCCTGATGGACACCACTAGTTGTCGTCAATTCACATGCCAACTTTCTACGAGCCATTACATGGTTGCGTGAGTTTGAGTAGAGGGCTGTGATTAGTGGCGTCGTTACATACTAATGCAAGTCCTCATATTGATACTAAGTGAATAGTTGTAAGGCATTTGGAGAGAAAATCATTCGGAAAGTTTTGCTACTGACAAAATATGTCACCCTTCTTGGTGTTTTCAGTTTCGTTAAAATATTCTTGGCATATCATTAGTTGTCAGCGTTTAATTGTGCGGCATTCTTTCACTTTATGCAGTTCATTGTTTCATGTATAAACTTTTGTTTCAGCCCGTAGCAGTAGTATCTCAACTACAAGATTCATACTTTGTGTTTGTAACGTTTTTAAGAGCTTTGAGGTTTATTGAGTGTTTTTAGTTATTTGCATACTTTCTATTTCATCAGATTGAAGTAGACTGAGAAGGGTTTGAATTGGAAGACATGCGTTTTTAAGAAACATTTTTACGATATTTTTTGGATTTCCTTTCACGTTTCTTTTCTAAGGGAACCAGTGTCAAATTCAATCCACAACACGTTGGTTTAAATCACGTTCTACACCATCATGATGTGGTACAAATTGTGAAGAAATGATCGAATGGGTTATTAATTCGGTGTGCTTATCACAATTTAATTCCTCCAAGTCTTTCTACGTGTATAACTTCATCCTTAAGAAGTGTGGTGAATAAATTAATCCCTTCGAATATTCCCTAGTTTTCATTTATGATTTCCTAATGGTGAATTAGTCTGTATAAAATGCAGTTGAGTTAAAGGTTTATTTGTATAAATAGTGTGCTTAACCCTCATACAAATAATATGAATCCCAGTATCGACTCGCTAAGACTCACACGTGTCTGCTGAGTTGCCTTATATTGTGTTCTAAAAAAACTATTATCCACTTAGTCGACACAAAAAAACGGTTATTCGTGCATCGATTTGAAAGTGACCGACTAAACTATATTCACTTCGGGTCCGGGCATAAATCATTGCAACATTTTCGTGGAATATTATTCAGTTGTAGATTGGCACAGCGTTAATACTGCCTGTCTTTGGTGATGTTATCGCTGTTTGCAAATGTGGCGGAAAATACTTGAAGCTGTTTACCTTTATGGTGATTATTTGTTGTTCTATAGGCCGGGAATGCCTCTTTGCGTTTATTTTCCCTTCATCACGGAACACGAGAGCACAAAGTATTTTTAATCGCCAGCAGGTGGAAATTGTCAACGTTGGACCTGGTATACTGCTTAGTGGTATCGTTTACCGCAGCTCAAATCAACTCACGAGGTAAGACTAAACAGTTTGGAATAAAAATAAATATAGTTGAAGTACGTAAACGTAACAAAGCCACTGCTACTAATGGAGTGTGACATGACGTCGCTGCAGCAGATTTTGAGTTGTATCCGAAGTTTTCAACCACCAATTTCACTTGTGTAGTAGATTTCAAATGAATAGCTTGTAATCGCCGATCTCATCATATTATATGTACACCATACTCACGCTCTAAACATTAAACTTATTTCTTGAGCTACAAAGCAAAACGGATAGCTAAGGAGTAACATATTTAAATTTCTATCCAGCTTGGACATTATATGTGAAATGAAATTTTGTACGCACTAGCCACAACTAAGTCCTCACAAAAACCTAATTTCCCGTTCACACTTCTTTTCTTGCGATTTGCAGAAGGTTACAAATTGTCGGGAGTGCACTTCCCTATTTTACTGATATATTTCGAGTGGGTATTTATTGGTTTCAGTATAGGATTTCAAGGCATTGTCAGATTGTAACTAAAGACAAGTGATTTCGTTCCTGACGTAGCTTTGAGTGTATTAATACTGAGGAGTCCCCAACTAAGATGGCAGCCGTTGCGTGCTCCTAGGTTTCCATTGCTCATCCAACTACCCAAAAATACATTCCGTTTGGAGATTTTTGAATAAGTTTTCAGTTGAAATATATCTGAGAACCTAACTGCAGTTTTTCCGAAGCGCTTACACAACAGATAAATCTGGAAGTTTCGTTGGTGTGTTCGAAAAATCCGAAGCTCTGACTGGCCTGTCCGTTCAGTGGCATAAACAATCAGGTTTGTATGTTGCCTGGATGTTCGTTCGATTAACCACCATTCCTTTCCTACTTAGAGTATATCGTTGATTTTGGATTTAAAGGTTTTCTATTGTTTAAAAGTGCGTTCTCTCACATTTTATTTTTATTAGTTCTGTACGTTGATGCAGGGTCGTGCGATATCCGTTAGTATTGCCAGTAGCACAGTTTAATTAAGATGAAAATTGCTGTAACTTGGTGAAGACTATGTTTTTATTTATCTTCTATGTCACCATCCAACCATATAATCAGCATCTGTTCCTATTAGATTTCATTTTAGTTCCTATCTACGTATGAAACAAAGGAATATATATGTCAGGATATGCCCGCAGTTTTTACTCCTCTAAATCCGTATTGTCAGTTCCGTGAACATCTATGGATATAGAAATGCAGTTGGTTATACGAAATGTCTTTACTCGTTGAGAACGCTGTTTGGAAGCATAAGTACAAATGGAGCAGGTTTGTAAACTGGTTACTCCAACTTACATGAGATAAATCAACCACCTTTTTTGTAAGACATCAAACAGTTCAAACGCTGATACGCAATATGAATATGTTTCATTGCCATATACTTACTTGCCTTTATCAGTCCTGGCTTTCAGGATGAATTAGAGCCACCGGACTGAAGCTGTAGCTGCTACGTGATCCATGTAACATGTGTAAATCTTTACACCGCCGCTGGAAATCATCTAGGGAAAAATGTGTTCACGATGCTCCACCCAAATCCTCTCAATGCTTCAAGAACTAAACATCGGCCAAAGCCGTCTGCAGGCATTGTGCTTTTTTGTACTTAGTTACGCTAAGCTAGATTTTGTACCGATAATTTTAAACTTTTCAAGGCACTTTCACATTATCTACCCCTAATAACCTCATCGTAATTATTGTGTCCCTTGGTTTTGAACAGTGTGATGTTCAGTTTGTCACACCTCTAGTTGATATAGGTGTTTATGCTGCTAGCACTCACCGGTTATCCATAAAATAAAAATTGTTTCTTAAGGCCTTTCATAATGAGGAGATCAGTTTGGTGAATTCGGACGGCTCGAAAATTATATACTTGGCTTCACAATTGTTACTGAATTCTACGTAGTTACATCAGTTCTAAAATAACTTTGACTTTGTTGATGGGAAGATATAGTACTGCTTTTGGAGTGAATCGTATCAACTTTTTCCGATGATATTTAAATAGCATATCTTCTGTTGGTTCTATCTCTGTACCGTTAACCAACCTTATGAGATTTAAGAAATAAGTAGTGAAGCTGAGTCAGAATATTATGATGTCAGACTGAAGGGTCAGATGATTTCCCAAAATCAATAGCTTACTGATCAACTATACTCCATATTAGTGCCGACATTCCTATCTCTACTGATCTATTTGGCTGAAAGTGCACAGAAAAGCATCTCTGTAATGCTTCCTTGTACTACTGATTCTCAAAGCCCCATTGTTAGCGTATACATCTCGGTGTTTCGTTATGATACGAAGACTACGCAGCTCCTGCTTAGCTATATAGTCTTGTCCTTTCCTGATTACTCATGAACACGCGATAGACACAAAGAATAACTGGTAGGCATCCACGTACACTGGCTAGTCCAGTAAACTAGTTACTGGCTGGTCATAAGCCCAGAGAAAGAGCGAAGGTTGAACATAGGCCTAGCAACCCTACCCCGGAAAACCAATCCAATCACTACAGAAACTTCAAACCACAAACAAAATTAAACTTATTCCTCACTGGAATCGCAGAGGTGAAATAACGCCAGTTGGTGAAAGCCTTCGTGAAGCCAATTGACCGATGTGTCTTCTCTCTTTCTCTCTCTGTCTCTCCCTCGATGAAGGCGAAAGTAAACATAGCGACATGGAATGTCCGAACAATATTTGAAGCTGGCTGGCAAGGCTGCCGGGATTGCAGAAGAGATGAGAAGATGTGGCACAGGAGTGCTAGGAATCTGAGAAACCAGATGAAATGGAAGTGGACTCCCCAAACTGTCAACTGGAGAGGAGTCAATAATCTACTCCGATATTGTCACACAGACGACAACCACGAACACAGCACACTGAGTATTCGAGTGGCTATCGTGATGTCTTCAAGAGCATCGAAGGCTCTCATGTAGTGGGAACCAATCTCCTCCAGCATCAGGATCATGACAGCAAGATGGATTCAACTCAAAAGGAAGGAAGGAAGGTCACAATCATTCAATGCTACGCTATGCTACGCTACGCACCCACAAATAATGCAGATGAAGAGAAGAAGGAGGAATTCTATAGACAACTGCAATCGTTACTGGACAAGACCCCACCCCAGTTGGCGATGGCTACATCAAAATTCATTCTAATGGGTGGGGTGACATGAATGGCAAACTGGGAGCAGACAACACAGGAAGAGAACTAACCATGGGTCGAGAAGCACTCGGTGAGTGATGAACGAGAAGTGAGAATTGTTGGCAGACTTCTGTGCATTCAGCGATTTGGTGATTGGATGTGAGGCGAGGCGAGGCAGTGTGTACAAACACAAGGATATTCACAAGGCGGCGACGTAAAGTTCACCAGACACAAGGACACACTACTCTGAAAGTCAGATCGACTTCATCTGAATGTGAAGAGAGTGGAGAAGCAGCCTACTGGAGACAAGATCAGATGAAGAAGGGGAGTACCACTCACACCACTATCTAGTGCAAGGAACCTAACTTCAAAACCAAGTTGAAAGCCTTCACGGAAGTTGGTGACAGGCCACAGTGCAAGTTGCACACTCAGAACAGAAACTGAAGGACGAAACTACAAAGGAAATCTTCACATCAGTAACGAGGACAAAATGGGAAATATTGAGTGACATCTCTGAAGAAACCTGTGTGGAAGAACACTGGAAGTGTGTGAAAGAGACGTGGAAAGAAACCTGCATAACCGTGTTAGGAAGGAAGGAATTGGGAAGAAGCAAGACAAGGAATGGATGTCGACGGACACATGGAAGGTGATAGAGGAGGGAGAGGAAGGTGGTGAAGCAGAAGATGAACCAGTGCAAGGATGAACAACGAGAAGAGGAACTGAGTACAATGTATAAAACACTACACTGTACAAGGAAGTGAGGATGAGTGCGTGGAAACACAAGCGACACTTCTATGACACACTGGCAAGGAAGCATAACAGGCTGCTGGTAGGAGAGACAGAGACGTGACAACACTATATCAAATGACCAGGTTACTATCAGGGAGGGGAGAGATCAACACAGATGAAACCAATGAGGGGTAGTAAAGGGAACCTAGGTGCCGAAGAGTGGGAACAAGGGAAACGATGAGCTGACCACTTCAGAAAACTCTTTAATCGACCACCACCTGCACTTCGTCCAGGAATACCACCTGCAGCCACAGAACTACAAGTGAACACAAGCCATCCGACTAAAGGCGAAGTGAAGTCCTGAACGCCATGAAGCTGCTAAAATGCGGGAAAGCAGTAGGACCAGATGGAATTCCTCCAGAAGTACTGAAAACAGACTCAGATGCTTCAGCAGCGG